CCCCTTCTTTCTACTCCACCCAATTACCCTTCCACCCCATCAACTATGACCCAGGGTGTGCCAGACAGTCCCGGACAACAGTCTGGCACAAATGATTTTGTCTTGTAACTCAGGCTACATTGGGTCCGCGGAACAGCTTCCAACCACGTCTCGCTTGCTTTCGCGGACTGGTCGAATGGACCAGGATAAACCCCTGCCATTTTCCATGGCGGCCCTGTAGATATGGCTCGGACCCGAACGAAACAGACCTCAGACCTGTTGTGTTACGTGGTAACTACCTAGTGCACTTGCCTGGCCTGTGAGCTGGCTGGCTCACAGCTGGTTCACCCTATCCGCAGCCTGTACTGCTTAGTCCACAGCAAAGCAGGGATTCTGCAGACCCAATGTGGCATGTCCCAACCATCCACCTACCCACCCATCCGCGCACCCGCCAACCCGCCAACCCGCCCACCCGCCCCACATACGTCCGAGGGTATGCCAGATGGTCCCTGGCGGCACTATGTGGCGTGAGAGGTTGGTGTCGATCACCCCCGGGTGCAATGCATTCACTGTCACTCCTGCACCCTCCTCCTGCTCGCGTGGAAAAAGGGAGAGACGGGAAGGGGAGAGAGGGGAAGAAGAAACGTGAGGGAGGGTGTTGGTGAGTAGAATGGAGATTGCCGCTGTTGAGGATCTATCACCCCCGGGTACAGAGCATTCACAGTCATACCTGTACAGGGGTTTTCAAAAGGAGAGGGTTGGGAGAGTGGGGACGAGGAGGAAGAGAAATTTGGTGAGGGATTTGAGACTGGCATTAGAAAAAAAAAGTTTTCACAGCGCGTTTCCCCTGCCTACTTCTTCACTCCCCCTCCACTCATACAAACTCTCGCGCACATTCCTGCACACATGCATGCCCACCCACCAACCACACACACCCGCTCCTTCAAGCACACCCTCCTCTCCCACAGCCACGCACCTTGAGCCGCCGTGCGAGCTCCCGGGCGTGCAGGATATTGGCGAGCTTGGACTGCTCGTACGCCTTCATGGAGTCGTACCCCTCCTTGGCGTTGATGGCATCAAAACGGATGCCGCCCGGGTACGGGAACTGGTGCGCGGCAGATGAGACGATCACGATGCGCGCCTCTGCGCCCTCCTGCTTGGCGGTTTCCTTGAGCTTCGGCAGCAGCAGGTTGGTCAGCAGGAAGTGGCCTAAAAAGGGGTACGGGGTGTGTTGAAATTCGGTGGGGGATGTGTGCGAGGGAAGGGGGAAAGCGGATGAAAGGGAAGAGGGGGGGAGGGGGAACGGAAAAAAAGAGGGAGAGGGAAGCGGTGGAGGTGTGGTGCGATCAGCCTGAGAGCCCCACGAGCCTGGGAGGGAAACAAATGCACTCAAGCCTACGAAGAGAACAACCAGCTGCTAAGACTCACTCGCACCACTCTCTCCCTCCACTCACACGGCGCACTGCCACCCCTGCTGTGCGCTGTGACCTGCTTGCCTGCCTCACCCACGTGGTTGCTGCTCCCCTGCATTCACCCACGTGGTTGCTGCTCCCCTGCACTCACCCACGTGGTTGCTGCTCCCCTGCACTCACCCACGTGGTTGCTGCTCCCCTGCACTCACCCACGTGGTTGCTGCTGCACTCACCCACGTGGTTGCTGCCGAGCTGGTTCTCATAGCCGTCAGCAGTGAGCATGAACGGGCAAATCATCACGCCCGCATTGTTGCTGCCGAGGGTGGGTGGGGAGGGGTGGGGTGGGGTGGGGAGGGGTTGGGTGAGGTTGGGTCCGCAGTGGTGGGATTGGTTGGTGGGGTGGGTGAGGGGGGTTGTGGGATAGCAAGTGAAGAAGGAATGGGGAAAGTGGATTGGGTGCGGGGAGAGGGGAAAGGGTCTGGACGAGCGGACTAAGTAGCGGAAAGTAGAATGACTGGCATAATGGGTAGGTAGGTAGGGAGGGAGGGAAGGAGGGAGGGAAGGAGGGAGGGAAGGAGGGAGAGGAAAGGAGGAGGGAAGGTGTATTATGACGGGGCATGGGGCAGCATCGCAGTGGGGCAGCACCAACTAAATCATCTTTTCCCCCACCACAGAACCCCCACCCTTTACCCTTAACTCATTCCCCCCATTCCCCTCATTCCCCGCATTCCCCTCCACCCGCCCCTCCACCCCCGTTCCACCCCTGCCCCTCCCCTTCTCCCCCCACTCGCCCCCTCCCCCTCCCTTGCCCCCTCCCCTTGCGCGCGCACATGAGCAGGTGCAGCGGGCGGTTGAGGCGCAGATAGTCCGCGGCGAACGCGCGCACCGACTTGAGCGACGCCAGATCCAGAGGCATCACGCTCACGCGCTCGCGCACCGCGGCCGGAACCCCCGCCGCCTCCGCGCTTCGCGCCTCAATGTCTTTGATGATGGCGGCTTTGGCGGCCTCCCCCGCCTCCGTGTTGCGCACCGCGAGCACCACGGACGCGCCTCGCAGCGCCAGCACCCGCGCTGTCTCTGTGCCGATGCCGCTGCTGCCGCCTTAGGGAGGAGATTTGCGCGGGGGGGAAGGAGATTCGCGAAGGCAAAGGAGGGGAAGGGAGGGAAGCGTGCAGGATATTAGCGAGCATGGACTGCCCGTACGCCTTCACCGAGTCGTACCCCTCCTTGGCGTTGATGGCGTCAAAGCGGATGCCGCCCGGGTACGGGAACTGGTGGGCGGCGGAGGAGACGATCACGATGCGCGCCTCTATGCCCTCGTGCTTGGCGGTTTCCTTGAGCTTCGGCAGCAGCAGGTTGGTCAGCAGGAAGTGGCCTAAAGGGGGTACGACGTGCGATGCAATTGGGTGGGGGGTGTGTGCAGGGGAAGGGGGGAAGGGGATGAAAGGGAAGAGAGGGGGAGGGGGGGCGGGGGGACGGAAAAAAGAGGGAGAAAAAGGCGGTGGAGATGTGGTGTGATCAGCCTGAGAGCCCCATGAGCCTGGGAGGGAAACAAATGCACTCAAGCCTACGAAGAGAACAACCAGCTGCTAAGACTCACTCGCACCACTCCCTCCCTCCACTCACACGGCGCACTGCCACCCCTGCTGTGCGCTGGCTGGGACCTGCTTGCTTGCCTCACCCACGTGGTTGCTGCTCCCCATCACTTACCCACGTGGTTGCTGCTCCCCAACACTCACCCACGTGGTTGCTGCTCCCCAACACTCACCCACGTGGTTGCTGCTCCCCAACACTTACCCACGTGGTTGCTGCTCCCCAACACTTACCCACGTGGTTGCTGCTCCCCAACACTTACCCACGTGGTTGCTGCTCCCCAACACTCACCCACGGGGTTGCTGCTCCCCAACACTTACCCACGGGGTTGCTGCTCCCCAACACTTACCCACGTGGTTGCTGCTCCCCAACACTTACCCACGTGGTTGCTGCTCCCCAACACCTAACCACGTGGTTGCTGCTCCCCAACACTCACCCACGTGGTTGCTGCTCCCCAACACTTACCCACGTGGTTGCTGCTCCCCAACACTTACCCACGTGGTTGCTGCTCCCCAACACTCACCCACGTGGTTGCTGCTCCCCAAGACTTGCCCACGTGGTTGCTGCTCCCCAACACTTACCCACGTGGTTGGTGCCGAGCTGGTTCTCATACCCGTCCGCTGTGAGCATGAAAGGGCATATCATCACGCCCGCATTGTTGCTGCCCAGTGGAGTGGGGTGGGGAGAGGTTGGGCAAGGTTGGATGGGCCGTGGTGGGATTGGTGGGGAGGGTGAGGGGGGGTTGTGGGATGGGAAGTGATGAGGGAAAGGGGACAGTGGGGTGGGTGCGTCGAGGGGGGAAAGGGACTGGACGAGCAGATGGAGTAAAGAGGAAAGGTAGAATGACTGGCATAATAGGTGGGTAGGCAGGGAGGCAGGGAGGGAGGGAAGGAGGAAGAGGGAATGAGAGAGCGAGGGAAGGAAGGAAAGAGGGAGGAAGGAAGAAGGCAGGTGTGTTGATGGGGCACACCAACAGCAGGCACACCATTCCTATATTGCCTAAACCCTAAACCGGAGTCTCCATTCCCCCAAATTGCCTCATCATTCTAACTTTGGTTGGGTGTTACCAAGTTGATGCTAATAAAAGGGACACGCCCTAACTACTTCACAAACCGTCTCGGTAGCTTCGTTTCTCGAAATTACTGCACTGGCGAAGATAAATTTCTTTGCTTCCACGAAGTGTGGCGCGAAGGATTTCCTGAGTTGCATCCCCAATTTGGTAACATTGCCGAGAGTGCTCCGCGACTCATGTCACGTCAACCGATTTCGAGGGTGACCCTGTTTCGCGGGCCAATCCCTTTTTCCAGCACGATTGCCACTTTGCCGCTCAAATCGACGCCCTCCGTCACATCTTCCGCCGTTGACCGGTAGCCGAACTTTGACAGATCTGCAACCGCTGACGTTGATGGACCGGAGGCGGAAGCCGCATAAAGGCATGGGCGCGCGGAACCGAGAGGATGAGAGTGGGCGCGAGGGGTATGGCGCAGCGATAGTGTCGCATGGAACTTCCGAGATGGTGACGAAAGACGATAAGTGGTGACGGGGAGAGAGGACCCACGAGAGACGCGGTGCCGAGACCAGGAACCATGCTATGAACTGAACTAGACGGAGTACGCTCGCTGCTGGGGTGGTGGCGCGGCGACGAGAAATTCGCTATTTGATAATGCCGCGACTCGCTAAATGGAGTGCTAACAAGAAGCTAACCACCGGATGGCATGCATCGGGGAATTCAATGTTGTCTGTCCCCCCGTTACCCCCTAGTCATCACAACCACACCCCCGCCAGCAGAACCAGCACATCGAAAATCTGGAGGCGGCTACGGAGGGGTGCGTGCATGTGCGTGTGCAGAACTGGCTGGGGGGAAATTAGTGGTGCGTGGCGAAATGGTTTTGAGGCGCCTCAAGAATCGTGGCAGGGCGGTACTTCACACAAGCCATCATGCAGCAACATTTCTTGCTCTCAGTGCCAACATACAGCACACACGCGCACTTTCAGAATTACTTATGACGCAGTATTATGCGCTCGCCTCCTCATTCCTCCCCCTCCCTCCCCATCCCACCCCACCTCTTTGCTCCCATATCCCACCCCTCCCAGGAGGATGGTTTCCGGCCGGGGCTGGTGGGAGGGCTGCTGGCGCGCGAGCGAGTGCTGGCGATAGTGGCAGGGCGGTACTTCACACTCGCCATCTCGCAGCACGGGGCATCCCCCCAGCATCCACTGGATGCTGTTGGGAAGCGGGAAACGTCGAGTGCAGTTGGGCTGGCTGGTTAGTAGCATGAGTGGGGTTTGTTGGGGGAACGTTTTTGACAGGTTGGAGTTCGTAGATGGGATGGTTTTCAATGCGGAAAATCTCAGCCAAAACGGGTCGTCAAGCCTGACGACCTGTTGACGACTTGACGACATGCTGCCCCGGGCAGAAAAAAACTAAAACCCTATCGGATGGCATGCCATCCTAGGGAGGCATCAACCCTAAATCCATGCCTCCCCGTGTTTAGGGTTGATGCCTCCCCGACCGGATGCATGCCCTTCTGGGGTTTATTTTTTTTGCCCGCGGGCAGCGAGCTCCCCCGGGCGGACTCGCTTGTCCGCTGAGATATACTCTTCGGTACTACTCAAAATTGTAGATCTGAACTGCCAGACGCACCTCGACTTCGGCGAAATGCTCACCAGGAGATTCCGCATCTTTCCGTATACACACGAATTTTTTTCCCGGGCAGCCCCTAAAAAACTCTGAAAGCGTATAGCGTATTAGCTAGCGTATAGCGTTTTGCGTATGAACGCAAGCGTATATACGCTGTACGCTTTAGGTTCTGAGCGTATATTCCCACTAAGGCATCCAGCCCGGCAGCGGGGGCGGCGGGGGGGAATATTTCCGTGGACGAGTTCGCGCTGGCGATGCGCGTGGGGGGCGTGCTGCGGCGCGTGGGGGTGTCGACGGTGGCGGCGAGCGGGCACACCCTGGCAGTGACTCCGGGGGGCGTGGTGCTGTCGTGGGGGTGCGACTGGGACGCGCGCAGGCGCCCCGCGGGGCTGCTGGGGCGCGCGGACGGCGCGTTCTGGCGGCCTGCGCCGCTGGAGGGGCTGACGGGGGAAGGGCAGGTGGTGGCGGTGGCGACAGGGCAGTATCACTCCGTTGCTGTGATGGAGAGCGGTAGGGTGTTCACGTGGGGGCTCAACAACAGGGGCCAGCTGGGCCGACCAATCAAGAGCAAGGTGCGACGGGCTGTGGGGAGAAGGGGAGGTTTGGAAGGGAGGCGGGGTGGGAGAGAAGAGGGGTGGGAGGGAGAGAGAGGAGGCTGAGGAGGGTGGGAGGTGGTGGGAGAGGGAGGCGAGCGGGAGTGTGTGGGAACAGGTTCATGCAGGGTTGTGAGGAGTTGTCTGGCTCAAAGTGGCCAACCATTGAAGCGCATGTTGGTTGTGCATCCCTCGTCACTGTTCCAACCCTTTTTTACTCCTCTCAACCCTACCCTGAACACCCAACCGCTTTCTACCCTCTTCCTGTTCCCGCCCACCTCTTGCACACTTTCCGATTCACACAGCAGCTCGTTGCGTGCAAGCCCACACTCTTGCAGACTGAAATGAATCACAGAAACACTTTATCGTTTCCTCATCCCTCTCCCTCCCACCTCTTCCCCTCCCTTCCGCGGCCCGCCCCATCCCACCCCATCACTTCCCTCCCACATCCGTCCCACCCCGTTCGCACATCCTATCCTACCCAATCCCACCCCATCCCACCCATCCCCGCATCTTATCCCACCCCTCCCAGGAGGACGGCTTCCGGCCTGGGCTGGTGGGAGGGCTGCTGGCGCGCGAGCGAGTGCTGGCGATAGTGGCAGGGCGGTACTTCACACTCGCCATCACACAGCACGGCCGCCTCTTCACCTGGGGCGCCAACCTCTACTCCGGTGACGCCCCCTGGCGCCACGAGCACGACTCGGGCTTCGATGACGATACCGATGCCGCTGCTGATGAGTTCTCAGACAAAATACCCGCAGGCACGACCGGGAGCAGCAGTGAGAGGGAGGCGTGGCGGCAGCGGCTGAGAAACGCAGCGCTGGCAGCGGCGCAGCCGAGGGTGGTGGAGGCGGGGGTGGAGGGGGAGCAGGTAGTGGAGGTGGACGTGGGCACGGACCACTGGGTGGCGCTCACAGGGTCGGGCATGGTGCTCGTGTGCCACACTGGGTTCACTCCTCAGGGGATAAGGATTGACACCGAGCAACACAGATCGTGGCTGGGAGTGGCGCCCGGGGTTCCCCTTGACCGCCCTGCTGCTGTGCGCGTGCCCCCGCATCTGGGCTCCCATCCTACTGGTGGTGGTGGTGGAGGGGAGGAGGGAAGGGCGGTGGGGCCGAAGGTGCAGTCGGTCGCAGCGGCGCACCACACGACGTTTGCAGTGACGGCGGAATACAAGGCTGTGTCGTGGGGCGAGGCGGGGCCACTGGTGGGGCGCGCGTGGGGGGACGGCCAGGAGCAGGTGCCGGCGAATAAGCCGGGGGTTGTGGGGAGCGGAGGAGGAGGAGGGGTGGCGGGAGGGGAGGGGGTGGTTGGGTTGGATCGGCAGACGGTGGAGCAGGTGTCGGCTGGAGAGGGCTTTGCTGTGGCGAGGCTGAGCCATGGCGTGGTGTACTCGTGGTGAGTGGCGCAGTTTTGACCCAGACCAGAGCACCTCCTGGTGAAAGCATTGGTGTACCGGGAAGTGCTTCCGTGGTGGTTAGCTCATTTTCGTTTCTTCCTCCCTGCCCACCGCACTCTCAATTCTCACTCAACCCCCCCTCCCCCCCGTTTATTCTTTACGGGGGCAACAACCTCCAGGGGCAGATGTTAGTGGTTGATAGCATGCCCTCGCATCTCCTCCCTCCCAGCCTCACGAACTCCCCCACTGCCCTCCGTCCATCCAGGGGCGACAACCAGCACGGGAAACTAGGCCGCCCAGTATCCTCAAGGTGCTCCAGCCAGTGCAGGGGCTGGAGCACCTGGAGGTGCTGCTGGTGGTGGCGGGCAGGCTGGTAGCATGCTCTAGCGTTACCCCTCCCCCCTCCCCACACCACACTCTCTCAACAGCCAAGTCTCATCCCCACCGTTCTTACCCCCTATTCCCAACTCTCCCCCTTTCCAACCTCCACCTCCCCTCTCCCTCCATCCAGGGGCGACAACCAGCACGGGCAGCTAGGCCGCCCAGCGCCCTCCCAGGACGGCACCCCTGCGCCAGTGCACGGGCTGGAGCACCTGGAGGTGCTGCTGGTGGTGGCGGGGTCGCAGCAGGGCCTGGTGCTGTGCCGCGCACTGCAGGGCTCGGAATCCGCCCTGGAGCCCCAGGAGTTTGACGACACACGCGTGCTAAAAAAGGAGCACGTGACGGCTGCAACACTGCCTGATCCCGATGCTTCTGCTCCTGCTGCTGTTCCTGTGCCTGGTGCTGCTGGTGCTGTTGTTGGTGCTGGTGGCGGTGCTGGTGGTGTGGGAGCAGGGTTGGGTGCAGCAGGGGAAGCGGCAGGGGCTGTGGCCGGGGGCGGGGGCGGGGGAGGAAGTGCGGGGGAGACGTGGCCGGAGAGAGTCAGGGGAGGGGCGTCAGGGGCAGAGCAGGGGGGCACGGGGGGCGAGGGGGCAGTGGCGCGGGACGTGTGGATGAAGTTCGGGGAGGAGTTCAAGATGCTGCCCCGGCAGGGCATGGACAGCAGCATGCGGAACCCATGCTGGCGCGTGCAGGCGGGGGGTGCGGGGAGTGGGGGAGCGGCAGGAGCTGAGGTGCACTGCCTGCCGTACTTCTTCATCATCGGTGCCACGAGGTGCCTGCTCTCTCTTCTCCTCCATCTGCCTCGTGAACCTCTCCTCTGTCTCTTTCCACCATATGTTAGCCCTGTCGGCTCCTCCTCCTGCACTTACTCCCCCTGCACTTATTCCCCCTGCACTTACTCCATCTGCACTCCTACACTAACTCCTCCTGCACTTTCTCCTGTACGCGATTGTTGGCCGTCCCTCACTGCACCTTCTTGCACTCGCTACCTGTCTCAACCCCCCCGTCGTCCCCCCTCTCTTCCCTGTGCACCATGCGTGAACCCATGCTCTTTAAGCGCCACCAGGAAGGAGAACCTGCGCCAGGAACTCACCCCTCATCCATCTGGCCCGCTATGTCGCTCTCTATTCTTTCCCACCCCGCCCCACTTGCACACATTGCCTGCATGCCAATCTCTCCCACCATCTCGTTGCTTGCAGGGCGGGCACGCAGGACCTGTACCGCAAGCTCACCTCCTCCATCATCCCGGGCATATTCCCAGCCGCCATCCCCAACCCCCAGTGGTACGATACGATCCGCCTTCTCCCTAGGTCTCGTCATGGTGAGTGAGCTCAACACAGCAGTTTCCTGTCACGTCTCTATCCTCCCCCCAGTCAGCCCCTGTTCTGGCACCCCATCCCAGGTACATTATCAGTTGACGGAGTATGAAGCAAAATGTGCTTCACTCAATCCCTTGAGCCATCCTCTTCCCCCCACCCATCCCCGCCCCCCCCCCTCCCATCTTCCCTTTTTGCCGTACAAATGTAACTCGCTTCTGTCGTGCAGTTTCCAACTTATACGCCTACTCAAATTCCATGCCTTTTTCTCGTCCTCCTTTCCCTGCTTCGCTGGATCTCGTCCTCTCCCCTCCTGCCGCACACCAACCACCATCCTCGACTCCACACAATCACTCCCCTCCCTCCCCTCCTCCTAAACTCCAACCACTGATCAACCTATGTCCCTCTCAAGGCACGTCTCTTTCACCACGTTGTGTAGCACACGCTTGATAGGGTGTGACACGCATTACCCTCCCCTTCCCCATCCCGCCCCACCCTGAGGGACTTTGTGTGGTTCGTGTCGCTCTTTGACGAGGCAGGCAGCGCAACGCAACACATCCCAATCGCTACACGCACTCCCTGCGACCACATAACCCCGCTCCCCTCCACCCCTCCCTTCCCTATCCCTATACCCCGCTTTCCCCTCCCCTGCCTTCTCCTGGCTCTATTTCCCCGCCACTCCATCCCCACCCTCCATTGTCCAGGTGGGACCGCAACGGCGCACGGGACTTTGCGTGGTACGTGTCGCTCTTTGACGAGGCAGCGCAGCACATGGTGAACACGGGGGGCAGCGCGGTGACAGGCGAGGCGTCCAGCACGCTGCTCACAAGCTCAGGCGTGGTGCTGCGAGGCCACGTGGACGACAGGCACACGGTGCCGCAGCTGCTGCACCTGGTGCTGCCCAGGAGCAAGTTCATTGTCATTCTCCGGAACCCTGTGGACCGGTTCTTCTCCGAGTTTAACCTCGCTGCCGGTGTCAACCCCTCGCCCTCCGTTCCCAGGGACTTTCATAAATACGTGAGTGCCCGCACTGCACTGCATCACACCGCATCACACTACATCATTTTGCACTGTTTGCCCCCGCTCTCCTGTATCTCAATCCCTCCCCGTCCCCTTCCCATCCCTCCACACACCCGCTATGCAATTCGATCTCGCTTTCTCTATTCGCATCTCTCCCACAATGCTTTCTCACCCTCGAATAGTCCTTGTATATACATGGGGCAAGGTGAGTACATGACAAGCAAAGCTACGCCCAGAACCGCCTTACACGAGCTCGCAAGCCGGCCCCAGGGCCTGCATCAAGCCCCCCCCCCAAGTCAATGGGCTCCACCCGTGCCGGCCACCAAGGCGGTGTGGGACTTGGCGGTTAGGGCATTGTTGGCCTGACTCCTTAGCGTGTTGGAGGATGATCGATGGATGGACCACCGCTGGCGGTAGTGCTAGAAGGGTTGGCCGTTTTTGCACGAACCCGGCTCTCAAGAACCGGCCGGCTCTGCCCGGCTCGGCTTGGAGTTGTTTAGCCACAAGGGTGGCGCACCTGTAAAAGAACTTGAGCTTACCCGATGAAACGTACCCGCCGTACGTCTCCACAGCCAATGCCTAGAACCCGACCCAGGCCGTCTGGTTGCAGTGGGATTTCTGTTCTTTGGGGCGGGTAGCTTCTTGGCCAACCAGTCAATGCTGTGGAAGGCCGTGGGGTCTTGCAGAGAGATTGGGTCTGTCACCGTCACATCATACACGCACACGCCCCCCCGAGTTGGGTTGGCGCATGGCGGGATCCACCCTGAGCCCTTCAGCTCGTTGTGGGCCGTGAGACCGGAGTCGGATGCGATTCTGGTCAATGCAAATGCGCATTTCATCGCGCACAGCAGCATTGTGAGTGCCAGTCCCCCCTTGGCCGGTCCCGCAGCGGAGCAGATGGTTTGGGAGACGTGGGCCGAGTATCTCTGTCGCGTCGTTCCAGTCACATGCGGTGGGCACAAGGTGTGGCAGGCTCAAACGAAACACCACGGCCCAGGCGCACCAACACCAACGAAGGAGGGAGAGCGGGCGCTGGCTGTGTCCGAGCAGGGCGTTCAGCTCCATTCCTGAGCGGGGGGTTGCTCTCCTCCAGCAGCATAGAATCTTGCGGCCTGCACAGGTAGGCTCACACCCCACTGCGCGTTGAGTGATTCTAAGCTGTCTCAGAGAAGGTGAAGCGAGGAGGCAGGCTGTGGCGGTGGTTTCCTCTACAGCCAGGCGTCTTGGGAGAGCTGCTCGGCTGTTGGGGTTTGGGTTGAAGAGCGGGAAAAGAGCCGCGATGCTATGGTGCAGTGAGCCACTGGTGGCACTGAGTACGTGCGCTGTTGCGGCCGTTAACGCCAGGTGGCTGGGAAACTGCTCGGCGGCTGGGTCTGAGAGGCCGAGACCGTCCAGGGATGTTGGGAGGGAGGTCTGGCGCCAAGGGAGGTCTGGCGCCAAGGGAGGCTGATGAGGTGGGCGACGTTGAGTTGAAGGTGGTGTCGAGGAAGTGTCGTCCAATCCAGTACGACCAAGGGTCAAAATTACGGTTATCGTATTATACGGTCCGTATAATACAGTCCTTTTTTACGGCCAAATATAAAAAAATACGCCGTATTTTTGATGGACTTTAAAAAAGCGTAGTTTTTCTCCTAGCAATCACTGAAAATTTTTTAACCGTATTTTACGGCCCTATTATACGATTCCGTATTATACGGTAAACTTACAATAATTCGGTCGTAATTTTGAACCTTGAGTACGACCCGTGAGTGGCTGCTGCTGTAGGACAATGCGGTGACGGGAATGAGGAACTCCCGGGGGCAATGACAAAGGCCCTCGTATACGCCCGCCCGGCCCCACTCTCGATGGCGTTCAAAGCGTTACTGACGTCGAGGTGGAGGGCGGGGTGTGTGTGGATGGATGGAAGGGGAGAACTCCTCAAGGTAGGTTCTGGAGGAGTGGATGATTGCTTCGACCCCCGCCCCTACAATACCCCCTTCGTACTGGATTGGGAGGAAGTGTCGGTCGGCACACAAAGGGAACACTGGGAAGCAGCGAGGGCCGCTTTTGCAATGAGGTGATGGATGACCTTTCTCAAAAGCGCTTAGGCTTGGCCATAGGCAGAGGGCCATTGGTCTGGTGAAGGCTTTTAAGGTGCCTTACAAGCGCTTAGGCTTGGCGATGGCAAGGGTTGCCTCCGTGTGGTGAGCCTCCCTGCGAGTGCCATGTTCGCGAGGGCCAGAAGGTCTTAAGGGGGCGTCATATAGGTGTTTGAAGCACATGGCAGTTGCCATGGCGCCGATGCTGTTCTTGCATCCGGAGAGGAGCAACCGTATGTCTCAAAAGGAGATGACAGGTGAGCTTGGGGGCTGGTAGGTTACCTGTCAATTTGGAAGGAAGGGGATGGCATTGGGGAGACGAGATTGGAGGGCCTCCAGAGTCTCACAGTTGGACGGGGGCTGACTGGGGTGCTCTCAAGGGCTTGCAAGGGCTTTGCCAGGCTGCCGCGCGTGGCAAGGGATTTTCCACGACAGAGCTTCCCAAGGATGTCCGTGGCGGTCCGTGCAGGGGGGAAGGTTGATTGCGGCACGGGCGTCAATGTAGAGCTTGCCTGAATAGGGTTAACCGATTGGAGATGGTAGCCCAGTCCGGGGAGCAGGAGGAAGTGACTCTGAGTGTGAGGGATGACCACCATTGGTGTTGCTGCTGGTGTTTTCGTGCGTCAAGCCTCCGTGTGCGATGGCAGGCTCGTGGACGCGAGGACGAGTGAGGTAGTCTTGCGCACACCAACGCTGTCCCCCTCACCGGGTAGCCCCCGCGGCTGCCCGGCGAGTGTCGTAGCCTGTCGCCTCGGCGGCCCTCAACATCTCCCTCGCTGTGGCCCATCTCGGAGGTGGGTCGCCCCAGGCGCAGTCAACACGGTGGGATTCTCCCCGGCGCTCGTCTCCGCCACAGAGGGGGGCATCTTTGAGAGCCAGAGTCAGAAGGGGGGGGGGGCAGCTCTGGGAGCCAGAACAGGCGGAGGGAACAGCGTCGGCGCGCGCAGGGCCGTAGGCGGCCGTATTCGGACCTGCAGGCAGCCGCCGAGGTGGCGGCGGTGGCGCCTGTGTCAGAATGTTATAATTGTCTAGCCTGCAGTGGGGTACTCTATAGCGAGTACAACCCAATTAGGGTTTCCTATATGTATCTCAACTGCTGCTAGTGCAACCCCTCCTTTGCACATTTCTGTTTCTGCCTGCTAATTTCGACATGATATCAGAGCAGGTCGACCCTCCTGGGTCGATCCTGTGGGTGGGCCCCACCCGATGCTTCCGCTGCTCTACTGCTGTCGCGCGCCCCGGGCGCGCGACCCTTTCTTCCTGCCGCGCGCTCGGAGCGCGCGGCGTTTTTCATCCCGCCGTGCGCTCGGGGCGTGCGGCGGTTTTCTGCCCTCCGTGGTGCCCCCGGGGACCTGCGCGCTGCCCCCCGTTGCCCGTCGCGGCGCCCTGGGGGCCCGCGCGTCGCCCTCCTCCCGTCGCCTCGTCGCGGCGCCCTGGGGGCCCGCGCCCCGGCCCCTCCCGTCGCCTCGTCGCGGCGCCTTGGGGGCCCGCGCGTCCCCCCCTCCCGTCGCCTCGTCGCGGCACCTTGGGGGCCCGCGCGTCGCCCCCTCCCGTCGCCTCGTCGCGGCGCCTTGGGGGCCCGCGCTCCGACCCCTCCCGTCGCCTCGTCGCGGCGCCTTGGGGGCCCGCGCGCGGCCCCTCCCGTCGCCCGTCGAGCCACCCTCGGGGGCCTGTGCGCGGCCCCCCTCCCGTCACCCGCCGTGGCGCCCTCGGGGGGCCCGCGCCCTGCTCCTTCGTGGCGCCCAGGAGACCCCCCCGCCGCCTCCCTTTCCCTCCGTGAACCGCCCCTGCTGCTTCCCGCGCTCCTGCTTGCTTTAGGGTTTGGGGGTGGCGGGCATGGGGGTGACCGGTGTGGGTAACCTGCAGCTCCTCCTCCTCCTTCTCCGTCTCCCACTGCTGCAGCTACCGCTGAGGGGGGTGGGTGTGTGGGAGCCGATGGTTTAGGGCTTAAGGGGGGTGACGTGGGAGTGGAGCTAGGGGTGTAGCAAAGGGTGTGTGAAAGGGGGGTGGGACAGTTGGGGGAGGTTGAGCGGAGGCTGCCGTCTTGTCGTCCGCAGCACCTGTAGTCCGGGGCGCTGTCCTGGTAGCCCAGAGAGCCTGCTGCGCCTGTCGCCCGTGGGTCCGTTGCTCCTGCCGCTCCTCGTAGCCGCCGAGCCAGTTACTCCAGTAGTCCGGGGCGCTGTCCCGGTAGCCACTGTGCCAGTGTGTCTGCAGCTTCAGCCGTCGTCTCCTATCTTCTCTCCTCTTACAGTCCCGCCTCCTCCTCCTCACTTGCCCTTTGTGAATGCCTCTAGCTTTGCTTGCACTTGTGAACCTGCTCTATGACTGCTTGCTCTGCTGATTATACCCCACTTTGACTATGGGGGTGTGTCAGAATGTTATAATTGTCTAGCCTGCAGTGGGGTACTCTATAGCGAGTACAACCCAATTAGGGTTTCCTATATATATCTCAACTGCTGCTAGTGCAACCCCTCCTTTGCTCATTTCTGTTTCTGCCTGCTAATTTCGACAGCCTGGGCACTCGCGGATATTCCTGCTGCTATTTGCACGTTGTGCCACCATATAAATGCTATTGATGGCTGCGTGCCAGTGCTTCGTCTTGTTGATAAGACCGTGGTGTGGTAGTTGGAGAGTGCGGGCGTAGCAGAGCAGTTGTAGGGCGGAGCGGAGGCGCCTGCTGCATGGCAGGCTAGCATAGATAGAGCCGCCGGTCCATGGAGCTGCTGCAGGTCGTCCGTCCATAGTCACTCCCGACTTGGGAGCTCCTTAGGAAATGCGTGTGTGTGTTTTATGTGCATGTTAAACATGTTGCAGTCTGTACACCGTGTGCTGTCGTCCTGTACAGCACGGTCGAAGCCCCTGGCCAAACTACAGAAGATAAAACGAAAGAATGTCTCACCCTCACTGTTTACTCTCCTCTATCCCACCTGCCTTTCTTCGTTCCATATTCCCCCTCCACCAATTGCTTCTCAAACGGTCCTTTGTATCAATGAGGAGATTGGTACAGGCTGAGTGCGCAAGAGAAGACAATGTTTGCTAACATGCAGTTCTGACCCCATACATCCGTGTGGAGAAGAAAGCACCGCATGCATTTCCAAATCTCCGCAAGGCATTTGCAAGCCCCTTCCCTGCACCTCCCCTTCCCTTCCCCTTCCCCTTCCCCTTCCCCCTTCTCCAAACCACCCCCCACGTTTCCTTCCATACACCTTCCTCCACCACCCCAGGCTCGAGATGCCACGTCACGCATGAGTGCGTGTGTGGAGAAGGAGGGTGCGCATACGTGCGTGCGGAAGCTGTTTCGAGACATGCCGGACCTGTGCGGATCATTCTATGCTTACTTCATCCATGTGTGTTGCGAGTCGGCAGGTGTGTTGTGAGGCGACAGATATGCACTGAGGCCCCCATTCCTAGCTGCACTCCCTGCCCCCTTCCTTTTGCCTACCTCCTCCTCCTCCACTTCCTCCTCCTCCTCCTCCTCCTCCTCCTCCTCCTCCTCCTCCTCCTCCTCCTCCTCCTCCTCGTCCTCGTCCTCCTCCTCCTCCTCCTCCTCCTCCTCCTCCACCCACCCACAGTGCTATTGGAGGGGAACCAGGTGGGAATTTTCTCTGCACTTCGTCCCTCTCACCCACCCCACCATCCTCGAGCAAGCCACTTTCCATACCCTCCACCCCCGCTCCCACCACTCCCTCTTAGCAGTGGGGAAGCATGTTTGAATGATCAACCTGGAGTTTCTTTTCGATTCCTCCCTTCTCATTGCTCCTATTCCACCCTCGTTGATACAGCCACTTTCCAACCTTCCCCCTCCTCCTTTCTCCTCTCCCTCTCTCCCCTCCTGTTCTCCTTCCCCATCCTCCCTCCCCTTTCACCCTTCTCCGACTTCCCTCTCCCCGACCCCACACCTATCATCCCCCCCCTCTCTCTCTTCCCCCCTCCCCTCTTCGTGACTGGTTCCTCTGATTCCACCCACAGGCCTTCGTCTCCCTCCACTTCAGACACTGCATGGCCAAACCACACACCGAGCCATTCCACTCCCTGCTATCCCTCTTCACCCCCTCCTCCCCCACCTCCCCTCCCTTCCCGCTTCCCATTTCCTCCCTCTCTCCCCCGTCTCCCCCTCTGTCAGGACTGATTCCACTCCTTCCACCCACAGGCCTTCTCTTTCTCCAGTTGAGGACTACATGGCGAACCCACACCGAGCCACACCACCAGCCCCTCTCAACACACCCCAGTCCCCTTCATCCACTCCCACCACCCCCCTCCCCCCCCCCTCTTCAGGACTGGTTCCGCTCCTTCCACCCCCAGGCCTTCCTCTTCCTGCGATTCGAGGACTACATGGCCAACCCCCGCCCGCACATCGCCCAAACCCTCGACTTCCTTGGCTTCCCCGCTGCTGACGTGGCGGAGGAGCAGTGGGCGGGGATCGTCGACCTGGAGCGGGTGGAGCAGCGGCCGGAGGGCATGGCGAGGGAGGAGCTGGATGGGGTCACACGGGATCACCTGGAGGCGTTCTTCGCACCTTTCAATGCAGATCTGGTGCGGTTGCTGCGTCATGAGAAGTATTCGTGGAAGAGAGGACAGAGGTTATAGGGGACGGGTGGAGAGGAGAGAAAAGGGGGGAGAAGGGGGGGGGGAGAGGGGTGAGGGGGGGGGAGGAGGGGGGTTAGCGAGGTAAGGAGGTGGGGGTGAGGGGAGTAATGTGCCGAAGTATTTTATTGGCATTGGCACAGAGTACTGGGTGGGTGGGTGGGTGGGTGGGTGAGAGGCTTAGGAAGTTGGGCAATGACTGTGACTGGACGGCTTCATGCGTCACCTCACCAATTCTGAAATCTGACTCTCATAGAGGAATGCCGATGTGACACACGTAATCTTCATACACATTTAAGTTGTTTCTTGTATTGTACTAAAATGTAATTGTTACTAGGCCTTTTAACTGTTGGAAGGCGTGTCTTGTTTATGATGAATATAAAACTTGTAAGAGGAGTCGGCAAAGCACGTTGATATCATTGATTGTCCACCTGCCCCCTTCGACATTTCTCTAGAAGTGTTACGATATGGAATAGTTGAATAAACATTCCTGAGTAACGAATCCCTAACGCGAAGATGACTGCAGCGAGGATGAAAGACCAAGCGACAAAACAGTTATCGAGACAGTTACAGGCAGTAAGAATTCAAAGTGCAAAGTGCGGGAAAACTTCAAACGGTTGCCGGACCGCATACGGTTACCGAACAACACGGTTGCAATCCTGGAATGTACCCCCTCAAAGTACATGGCTAGCTAGGACCTTTCGTATTCCACTGTATTCCTATATAAACCCCTGTACCGCACTGTGTTAGTCAAATCTGTCGAGATTCAAATCTCCTTCTACTGACAGAGTCCGTACCCGACATTACCAAGCAATCTTCCGCTGCTACACTCCGTGCGATCAACCTGAGACGATCCTATAAGACGGTTCAGATTGTATTATGGTATGAGAGCCACTCAGGATTCATCGCACCACCACCTCTGATTCAAATTCAAAATCAAGGTGGCGTTCGGTACGCGCTCCCGCCGAAATATGGCTGGAGGATCTGGCGGACAAACAAAAAATACTGCGGAGGCCCCCGCCAACCCTACCACGATCTCTGCGAGAACTACCACCGTCAGCAACGCGCTACTGGAGCAACTCATCCAGCGGATCACAACGCTAGAGTTTGGAATTCAACAATTGAAGAACAACAATCCTGAAACCGCGCAGCAACCCGATCAACCGGCCGTCCCAAACAAGGAACCGAATCCAACCACCTTTGACACCGGGTCAAACTCTTATGCTCCAACCGCTCCACGTCTAAGTGATGAAGTCGTACTCGCAGCTCATAACAAGTTTCTGACCATCTTCAAGATACGTACCAGCACCGTGTTTAGCGGACGTGATTTTTACACTTGGAGTTTTGAGCTCGAGTTACTTCTCCAAAACGCGCAAATCCTTTGCTACTTTGATGGAAGCTACGCTGGCCCCACCACCAACACTGACGACGCCAAGGCTCAGTATTAGAACGAGTCACTCATAACGTATAGCGTCCTACTGAACAGCTCGGCATTCGCCCCTATGAAACTCGTCAAGCTCCCGCCATGGCCGCCTGGAGTTATCTCAATAAAACCTACCAGCCCAAAGACTCCGTGTCTTACAGCTGCTTACTCCAGCAACTCATGGAAGTCAAGATGGCACCTGGCGAGAAAGCAAACTCTTACATCAACCGCTGCCGAAGCGTCCGCGACCAACTCTTGAAGCTCGGAAACACAATCTCCGAAGACATGTTTGTCACCATCGTGCTTCGAGGGCTTGGACCGCACTGGAATCCCTGCAAGGCTCTGCTTCGCCAACAGGGCATAATCTCAGAGGCGCACCTCTGTGCTACTCTTCTGCACGAGCAGCGAGACACGGATTTCAACCAAGAAAAAGGGGCGCGCCGCGAACAAATTACCTTTTATTCTAATCGTGACCAACGAAGGAATCGCGACACACGGCCACGACAATACTACTGCAAAAACTGCAAAGCCTTCGGCCACTCTACTGAACGCTGCCGATCCGGACCACGACACGATTCCGCGCCGCGCAACAACTCTGCCTACGGTCCCAATCATATGCGCCAGGCAAACCGACCGTCTTCGGACCATTGGTCTGCCCCGCCCTAGCAGCCACAATCTGACATTCAGCGCGCACCACAGAACAACAACAACACCCGCCACGTCATGGGCAACATGGCGATGCGCATTCCCCGCCGCACCCGTCGCACAAATCGGCGACATCTGCGCTGTGTCTCTCCTCCACCGCCAGGAGACGAATTTCAATTCAACGGCTACAACAACCCATTTACGCAGGATGGGAAATCCGTCTCCGACGAACACGAACAAGATTGGGAGTTGCCGATCCCTCTGCTCGAGTCGCCGCCACATGACGAAGATTTTCTCAACTCGCCATCAATCACTAGCTACTTCTACGGACACAACATCGACACTCGCTCCGTCGACAACTATCACTACGCTGGCGACACACGCATTCCGTTCCGCAATACGCCAAATCTGGCACTCTCGGCCCAACATCGCGCCAACTCCTACAACACTTGGTACCTTGACAGCTGCTGCGGGCAGCACATGGTGGGCTCCAAGCGCTACATCTCCAACGCTAGCGCCATCCCGCAACCCACCATCGTCACAGTGGTCAACAATCAGCAGCTCCAAGCACGAGCGTGCGGCATCGTCGTTCTCAAGGCACACATGACAGCAACACTCACATCACGCTCAATGACGTCCTCATCGTACGGGACCTACAGTACATCCTCCTCACCTGATCTCGAGACACGCAACATTCTCATGCACTAGAAAGACTACAGCACACCAAACAACACGCCGCGATACATCGGCAGGGCACATTCCGAAGACGGCGTCTACATTCTCGATTTCGACATCCCAGACTGTAGCGCCGACCCAGGGGACCCCATAGATCTGCAACCACAGGACATCGTGTGGTCACGCAAGCCCAAACATCCAGACGGCCGCCCTTGGATCAAGCATCATGCTCACCCAAGGGAAATCGACCTTCACGCACCTGGACCTGACGGCCTCTGCCGCAATTGCCGCACTCCGACAGCTTCCACGACAGACAGAACAGACAGAACTCCACCTCCCCCTCGCCAAGACCATCCACCTCCCAACAGAGGGAAAGGACCAGCTGACGAAGGCGAATCCTCTGCTGCAGTCGCACGGCGCCTGGCAGCCACAACAGCTCACGACGACCCTGATCACCCTCCTGAGGAATCAGACTCATCTGAGGAGGCCGGACCACTTATCCAGCCCGCTGGCATGGATATCGTCGATGTAGAAGAATGGCAGACTCCTCACCCAACTGGCATGAGGTATGGAGAGCTCGCGGCTGCCCTCACCATTTTACAGCCGCGCGAAACCCGGATTGATCCCACTGTCCATGATCGCCTACAACTTCTCACTCGCTACACAAGACCAGGCGCGTTCGACGCTGACGACAACCCCCTTCCACTCACCTGGGAATCCTACCACATCGCTCACCCTTCGTCCCACCGCACCATGACCACCGATGAATTCCAGCGACATGAAGAAGAAGAAAGGCGTCGCCGCGCAGATGCAGAAGCAAAGGCGGCAACAGCTGCAGCGTATGGAGGATGGGGAGCTCCTGCCGACGCAACAGGGTGGGGAGGTGCAACTGCCACAACAGGATGGGGGGAGGCCGGAACAACAACAATGGAGCAAGAAGAGCCGATAGAGGATGTCATCGCTCGCGCTGAACAAGAGGCATCAGCAGAAGTCAGAGGACCCTACGGGTCCCCGCGTCCCCTCGGCTTACCCCCCTCAGGTTCCTCACAAACCAGCAACTCCTGGGGCTCCTCCACAGACTCTAGGCCCCCCATAGACCGTGACACCATACTACCTTACAGCACCTATCCTTGCATCCCGCTTCCCTCTGAATCCATGTGAGGATCTAGGATCGAGCTCAGAAAAGAGAATGTGAATTGAATGATCACCTGGGTACAACACGAGGCTATATATAGGCTCGACACAAGGCCCAGTAACCAGGTGTTACGCGAAGGTTCCGCGGGTCGCGAAGCGTCTCGAACAGATCCTTCCCGAATTCGGTAGAAGGCAATTCGGTGGCAACCGAAAAGCCAGAATTCGGTGCACGCAACCTAGCTCGGTGCTATAACTATAATAAAATATAGGAAAGCACCTAGCCTAGGAATTCAAGCAATTCATGCATGCATATAATTATCCTATGCTAGAAATAGCATAATAAAGTAAAGGCAAGCAAGCATAGCTCGCATAAGCCGTCGTACTCTCACACGTCCCCCCCTCAAAGCTGGGTGGCGTGAGATACACCCTGCTTGAGAGCACGGCGTGCGTTGCCCATATCAGCTTCTGCAACCCAACTGTCCTCAGTAGGGTCGTATCCCTTCCAGCGTATCAGGAACTCGAGGGTCTTGCCGCCGCGGCGCCGATGAGAGAGAACGCGCTCAATCTCGTACTCGGGTTCATCCTGCACAAGAACAGGTGGAGGTGGCGGTAGCTGCCGTCCCTGGAACTGTTGGTTGGGGTCCTTGTAGGGCTTCAGTAGCTGAACATGGAAAGCGTTGTGAAGCTTCCATGTATCTGGTAAGCGCAAGCGGAATGTAACTGGTGTCACCTGTGTCTCCACGAGAAAAGGACCACAGAAGCGAGGCCGGAGTTTGGATGGGAGGTGAGATAGGTTCAAGTTGCGTGTGTCAAGAAGCACCTGATCTCCGACTGCTACTGAGTGATCTCGTCGCTGACGATCGGCATACTGCTTCTGGGAGGTCTGCATCGTGGTGAGACGTCGCCGAGTCTTCTCCCATAGCTGCTGCATGGTGGTGACGAAGTCATGTGCTGCTTGGACGTGTGCCGGTGTAGTCGGCTGTGATGGTGTGAGTGGTTCCCGTCCGTAACACAGGAAGAAAGGAGTTTTTCCTGTGGCCGCATGTGAGGCGTTGTTATAAGCGAACTCTAAGGTCAGTAACTGTGTGTCCCAGTGGCTGATGTCTTCTTTGCAAGCTGTGCGCAG